GCCCCCTAGAGTGCTAGGATTACAGGCGTGAGCCACTGCACCCGGCCAATTTATTGCTTTATTAATAGTTAAAACATTTGCTTATGTTTGTTAACTGTGTATAAATCAGGCCTTTCCTTTGTCCAGCTGTTTTAAGGTGCTTCAAATATTTATTTGTAAGTCAGTTATACATGTGCGAGGTACTTACATAACCCTTGCCATTAAGTGAAAATAAGCCCTCTACCATCCAGTGGATCTCTGAATCCCATTCTTTGTAGCACCATTCCTCCTAACTTCTGGTTCCTGACACTCACAACTCTTGGCTTCTGCCTACTATTACTTTCTATTGTAAGTATAGGAGGAACAAGAAGAATTATTTACTAAATAGTGGCATGGCCAGCTAACTCCTACTACTGGTTGTACGCAGTTCAAATAAAACATCATAAAGCTAATGTTACCATCATGATCTCTTCTCAGGCCTTTCTGAAAGCCTACTGTCTTAATTGCCGCCTCTCAGACTTCCCTAGTGATGCCTCTCAATCTTTCTTGGCTTCTCATTATGTCATCCCAGGGTCTGACCAGGTTCCATTTCTAAAAACAAACACTTTGACCTGAGCAAAGCAAAAAATTCTACCTAGACCAAATGCCAACTTTCACGCTGTAAAATATGGCAATGGTCAGCATAAACTTTTGGCTTTAGCAGAATTCTAGGCTTCAGTATTTTGACATAAAATTAATTATTAAGGATTAGAGGACACAAATACACTCCATTTCTTCACAGCAACATGCTCTTTCCATTGACTTTAATATAGGATAAGAGACATGCACACCATTTGCTTTTAACTGTAAGTCAGTTCATAAGGGTAACAATGATAATAATAATGATAATAATAAAACCACATCCAAACAAATACAGCTGTTACACAGGCAAGTATGACAAACAAGGTCACCCGGTCATCACTAGTAATTATGATTTTAGAATTGGCCATCAGCTCTTCCGACACAAGTGTTCACCAAAGTAGAGAAGCAAAAGATTTTGTTGGTTCCTTAAAAATGTAGGAATCAATATCTGCCTGGGTTCTTTTTTATATTTACAGTAATATCACCATCTTGAATTTGGGTAGCACTTTTTAAAAATGCTCACATATATTTTATACTCACTACAAACCTATGCAGTACACAGAGAGATATAATTAATCTCATTTTAAAAGTAAGCAAATATAGAGAAGAACTGTGGCTATCTGACTTCTTGGCAATATCTCAAGGCCAAGCTCACATCACAATGCAGCACTTCATCTTCCAATACATCATAAAAACATTTTTTATACCCTGCTACTTTGACTTCACCTTTCTTTCTTCCTTTTATCAGGTTGGATCTCTGAAAGTATAAAACTTGCATGTTATGATTTCCTCTTATACCATCTAAAATGACAGCCTCCTGATAACTTCTAAAATCTGCTTATACATGCAGTGATTTCTGCAGGGAAGGGCATCTCTACTGAGTCTTCTGGACAACGAGTTTATCTATTGTTATGAATTCAGAAAAAGCTCAGAGAAAGGTCTGGAGTCTAAGGGGTAGCTTAGCCTTCAGGGCAGCCTCCATTCCTAAGTTCAGACCTGACTAGACAACAGTAGTGGCCAATCTCCAACTCTTCCCTTAGACCTGGAAGGAATTAGGAATCACAGTTCAGACTCTGAGCAATGAAAAATGTAACTATCATGCAGTAAAATAATCACACATGTTACTACGAAGCATTGGCACCCTTATCAATTACAAATAGACAAAACAATGCTCAATGCTCCTTCTTGTGACCTCCAAGGAGATTAAGAAAAATTGACGTCTTCCTAAATGTATAATAATATAATGTGTGGAACATGAGCGTTGAAAGCACGAGTAAAACTGAAGTTAAATAGTTCTGTTTTTTGCTTGGATTGTACCTCCATAGGCACACATACACACCCCTCCTCTAATGATAAGCTTAACACTGGTAACTGGGACTAAACTGCTGGCAGACATGCTGAGATTCGACCAAGGGTATGAGAACTCAGATATAATCTGGAAAACTGATGAAATGCCATTAAAATTCAGAAAATCCTTATATCACACATTCAAAAGTTTCCTAAACAGAAAGTATTAAGCAATAAGCAGAACATATTTTAAAAATAAATATTACCTCAATTGGGTTAAATTTAACACTACTTATACTGTCAAATCCCCAGGTCATTGAACATATAGGACTGGTTCTTTGCTCATCCCAAATATCCACTTGCTGTCCACATGTGGCAAAAACAGCTTCTTTCCAGTGATGATCAATTCCAGTATACACTGTCTTTAAAAGCAAAGAGGTTGTTATACATAGGTTTTTTCATTACTACCTCAAATCTGCAGAATAATATTTTAAATGTATTTATCTACATTCTCTCTCTCTATTTTTTTTTGAGAAAATCCTGTTCATAAAGAAACTTCTTTGAAGCCCTTACTTAAAGGGGAAAACGGTACCATAAAGAGATAAGACATTTTACATGAATGAAACCAAATTTTTTCCGGTTTCCTTCTAAATATATATGTACCTAAATATATACTAACCATAATACTGAAATGACAAAGTAATTTTTTAAATGCATGTTTAGTTTAAAGATTAAATCTAACTTTAGAATTTTGTCTGCTTAATATAAAACCATAAGCATTATAAAACATGGGTAGGCCAAATGTTCTGAATTATACTTAAGCTATAACTAAACCATATCATGTGATTTGCAGAATTAATTTGGTAGAAACATAAACAAGCTTTATATAAGAAGCATCAATTATTACATTTCTTCCTTTCCTAAAGGATTCTTTCAATTAAGAAATTCTGAGTTTTGTGTATGATGATATAAATTACACAGGAGCTGAAACATTATTTTTTCTGAACTTCTACTTATAGATTTACCTCCATGGCCTTACTGTAAGAAATGTTTCATTGCATCCTCTAGCTAAAAACAGAAATCGAACCTACTAAAATGAACACCAAAAAATTGTTGAAATTCTTTAGCTTTGAAAGACCTTAATTGCATTAAGTATCGCTTAAATAGGTTAATAACTGCAGTCTAAAGTCTTTCACTTTTTACTTAAATCTTTTTTGGAAATTATAACTGTGAAGTAATTTTATGTAAAAGGGAAGAATTTTAACAGGCAAAGTATGAGTCAATGTATTTTTATACCTTTCCTAATATTGTATGCAATGGCTCTTCCTCTTCTCCATATGCTGGTGCATCCATTTTCCACTGCTTCACTGTTTTGTCATCACCAACCTGGAAATATTTGTTTTATTATTATGATGATAATGAACAACAGTTATAAATAAAAACTTGCCAACAAATATATCAAATTATAAGCATCTTGTTAAAAACCACATACTATATTCTTTCAACATTAATATTTAATGATGCATTTATATCTCACCTTGTTATAGTAAAGATTTGTGACAAATACATAAAGTACATACAATTAAAAATAAAATAGTATGAGTAGAGCAAAACAAAAACAACAGGAGCAAAGTCAGGTCATGCACATTGTGATAAGGATGGCATTTCAAACTAGGGAGAAAAATGGATCATAATAAAA